CACCGCCACGTTCGGAACCCCGACCCCACCGAGCTGCTGCGCCTCATCTTCTCAGCTCTGTCCTTCGTGAGTGCCCCCAAAGCGGGTCCCACCCCACAAAACGGGGGGACCGCCCCTCCCTACCCCCACCCTGCGGGTGCGTTTGGGGGTGCTGCTCCATCGCTGTCRCCCCCAGGTCCTGGAGCACTGCCCCAGCCCCGGCCTGGCCCCCGGGGTGGAGTCCCCGCTGCTGCTGCCGGAGGCGCTGCAGTTCCTGGAGGAGACCCTGAGTGACGATGACTACGGAACCTGGAAGAGCCTGGGCAATGCCTGGAACAAGTCCAGGTGGGGTCCAGCCCTCCGACCCCGAGAAAGGGGGGGTCTGGATTTGAGGGGGGTCACAACACTCACCCCGATGTCCCCCGCCCCCTCGCTGGTTGTAGGGCCGAGTACCCCAACAGCGCCCAGGTGCCCGCGTATATCCCGGTGTTTTCGGACGGCTGGTTGCCCCCCGTGATGGAGCTCCAGGACGCCCGGCCGCCTGCCTCAGTTTCCCCAGCTCGCTCGCGATACCCCTCCCGGTCCCTGCCCCCCGCGCAGTCAGCAGGCACCGGCTGGAGGGACAATCCCGGACACGAGTAAGTGTCCCCCTTTCCCTCTGGGTGCGGACGGACGGACAGGATTTGGCTCCGGCCGGGTACTGATGAACCCCCTCRTCCCCCCCAGATTCCCCCTCCCCAGCCAGGGGCTGGTGCGAGCCCTGTACGATTTCCAGGCCAGGAATTCGCGGGAGCTGAGCGTCAGGAAGGGGGACATGCTGCAGGTAGGAGGGGTGGGGACCGTGGGGAGGACAAAGTTGGGTCTGCGGGGTTCTGACCCTTCATACTGCCCCCCTTGGCACCTCCTTTAGGTCCTGGACCAGCAGAGGAAATGGTGGCTGGTGCAGGACGAGCGGGGGGACCGGGGGCACGTCCCTGGCAACATCCTGGAGCCGCTCCCGGAGCCAGGGCACACGGGGGGCCACAGCGCCACACAGGTGGGTGTCCCCTGTCCCCTCCCTTCCCCGCGCCCTCCGGCCAAGGGATGTTACCCCGATGTCCCCTCTCTTTGTCCCCCGCTCCAGGACAGTCCCCCTTCCCTGCACCCCAATTCCACGCCGGAGGAGGTGGCAGCCTGGCTGACGGACAAGGGCTTCTCGCGGATGTAGGTGGTCCCTTAAGCCCCCCCCCC